TATCTTCTATTGATATAATACTATAAATAGATTATTTGTCTGAGATGTATTCATCTAATTGTATTAAATCTTCATTAGTACATTCTATTAGTGTACTTTTCTTATCATAATTATTTATTCTTTTTGGACAAGTTTTAAATAAATGTTCATTACTATTACAAACATAATAACTAAGTCTATTTTTATAAGTTCTTTCTGGTTTAAATTTCCTAACATGTCTTTTTTCATCTAAATATGGTTTTCTTTTATTGGATTTTCTTAAAATGTCTTTTATTATTTCTTTCTTTATTACCAAATTTATTTTTTCTTGAATTAGAGGTTTCATAAGTTTGTGGGGTAAAAATATCTTTACAGAATTTATAATCTGTCTTTTTAAATTGTTTTTGAATTTGTAATTCTACACATTTATCTTCTAGATATCTTATTACATGTTGTATTCTTTGTCCTATACTCCATTGTTTTTCTAGTTCTTCCTTTACTGATGCTAAATTATTCCATTTGTCTGTTATTTCTAATCCTAATGGTCCTGGTAATTTATGAAATAGTTTATTACCAATTTCTTGATTAAATGTATTTCCTGATATTGAAATTAAATAATGATATTCATTTAAAAACTTTTTAACATATCTTCCTTTAGTCCATTTATAAAGACTAAGTTGTTCTAAATCTTTCATAACTTTTCTTTGTATACTCTTATGTCCTAAATTTGGGTCTGCTCCTATTATTAATATTTGTATTTTATTGACAAAATTATATGGATTACTTCCCATATTAATTAATTGTTCAAATTCTTCTTTCTTTTCTAATTTAAATGTTTCCCACATAGCTTTTACACTTTCTCCTAAGAATGTTTTTAAATATCTATACATATCTAAAGCTTCCATTTCCTGAAAATCTCTAATATAATGTCCTATTATAGTATTTTTCCATACATCTATTACATTATTCCATATCTGTGGATCATGTGCTGTAATATTTAGAATTTGTGCTTTATGGTCTGATTAGAATTCTATTTTCTTTTCTAAGGGTCTTTCACTTCCTCTTACTATATATTTTCCTTCTGTATTGTTATATAAAGGATAAGCTCCTCTTTGGCGAAATCCTCCACCATAAACCATTGCCTCATGTTTGATTGTTTTATCAAAAGGAGTATCACTAAAAGTTCTGTATGTATTAGAATCTTCCATAAGTTCTTTTGTATAACTTAAATATGAATTTTCTGAATCATTATCTTTTTTAATAATTCCTATCCTTATATTTTGTTCTTGATCATAATATAAATATTCAGATTCTGTTATTATCTTATTAAGATACATTTGATCTTCAAGTTCCAAAAATTCTTTCTTATCTAAATTTATTCCTAATTCTTTTGGATAAATTATTCTATCTAATTCTTCATCCATTAATTCTATATGAACTTGATTTTGGAATGGTTCATTTTGTTCTTCTTCAGGATTAGTTTCTTCTTCAAAATCATTCTGTATTTGTACCTGATTATAATCTAAAAATTTTAAACTAGTTCTTCCATAAATATCTTTATAAGTTAATGCTTCCTGTGGTGCTATAGTTATTTCTTGATTTTCTAAAAATTTATCCAAATCCCATTCTAATCATGCCAATTGTTCTGATGAATATTCTTTAGGTTTAACCATATTACTTCATTTACTAATCGTTAAATTTACCACTTTATCTATGTAAATTTTATATTTTGTTTGAGAATTATTTGAACATCTTCCTAAAAATCCTATACTAATTAATAAATTATCTCCACTTTCAACTTCTTCATATCCTTTTGTTTGAATTCCTATTTTAATTTTTTCTGAAAAATCTTTAATGGTTAATAAAAAATCTGGATTACAATAAATTATTCCATTATTATTATTCATATCAACTTCTGTACTAGCAATCATACTTTTATCTATATTATTAATTCTTTCATCATATATAGTAACTAAAACTTTACATCCTAAGTTCTTTCTCATTAATCCTTTTATTCCTATAACTATTAATCCTAAATGCATGAATCTAAAATTTTTCTTTTTTAATTCTCTCTTAGAATTTTCTGATATTAAATTTAATTTTCTTACTTGATTTCCTATACACTGAACAGATACTTCTCTACTATGTCTGAAAAATTGTGTTCTTGTCTCAAAAATTCCTTTATTATATAATATTTCTGGGTTAAGAATTCTTAATCCATTAATTTGAAATCTTAAATAATCTTGTTGAGAATCTATAATTTCTTCTATATTTTGATTATATTGTACTGGTCTATTTAAAACTCTTTCTATTATGTTTCTGCTTATACTTGAAGTACTATTTCTAGATGTAGATGTTTCTTCGCTTATTGTTCTAGATCTTCCTAGAAAAGGATTTGTATTCATTTTGGAAATTTATACTCTTTAGGTAATCTTTTAGTTACTTTTTCTTTTCCCGTTTCTCTAAAACTTAAATTTTCTAATGTATTTGTTAAAGCTTTTAAACATTTTTCTACACTTGATGTTGATGTTATTTCTATTTCTTTAGAATCTAAAATTCTCTTTATTTCAGTTAAATCTACTTTAGATGGTATTTTTTCTAATTTAGCAAGTTTTTCTAAATACTTGAATTTTGATTTTTAATATAATCTAAAGATTCTTTTATATTTCTAATTTCTTGATCTCTAACAGTAATATTTTTTTTTATAATTTCTAAATAATTAATTTTCTTTTTATTTTCAAATTCTAAATTTTTTGATAAATTTATGATTAAGTCTATTAAACAATTCTGATTTGGATCTTCTGAAAATAAACTATGTAATTTATGCTTATTTTCTAAATTACACTTAATTATATTATTATCAACTGTTTGTACTTTTTTACTGATATTACTTAAATCTAAGTCTAAATAATCAAACTGTCTTTTTGTATCCAGAGTTCTAATATATAAGAGATTTCTTTTAGAATATAAATATGTTTATATTCTTCTACTAACAATCTTTTTACTAAATTTTCTCTTATTTCAACAGGTACGTTTCTAACAATTCTTAAAATTTCTAAAATTTCAATTAAATCTTTACTATATGTTCCTACTATGTTGTCTTCTTCAAAGTAACCACAAATATCTAAGCTATATTTTACTTGATAAGTTAATCTTTTATTATTCCTTAAACCTGTAAGTTCTAATATCATAAACTCTTTTTGTGTGTGTGTGTGTGTGTGTGTGTGTGTGTGTGTGTGTATATATATATATTTGATTATATATATATTTGATTAAAGGGAGTTATATGCATCAAATTTCTTGACAAGTAATCCATGTAGTTATCATTAGTAGTGTATTTAACGTCAAGTTTGTTGAGATGTTTCATGGTTGGTAATAATCAAACAAATAATAATGAATGATTGTATCGTACACTATTTTATATATATAACAACATGGATTATACATATATATATATATATATATATATATATATATATATATAATCCATGTTGTTATCATTAGTAGTGTATTTAAGGTCAATTTTGTTGAGATGTTTCATGGTTGGTAATAATCAAACAAATAATAATGAATGATTGTATCGTACACTATTATTATTGCAAAATGGACAGCCATTTCTTTAATTATTTTTCCTCTTCATTAACATGAGAATTGTCATTAAAATATAATAAAGATTGGGTACTTTAATGATTTTGAGAAATATTTTTGATTACTATTATTTGAGAAAAATAGAATTTTGAATAGCAATATTTAGAAGAATATATGATTAAAAAGCATGTAAAGATTTTAAATTTATGTATAAAATATTTTATTAAATGAATGTGATTGAAAATGTGTATGCAGAAAAATAAATTTAAAAATAATGATTGTCGACCGTACATTTTGTTAAAGATTAATTTGATCTAATTTAACATAACGAATATGATTTCTCCGACCAATGTACACCCTGACCCTACACTGAGCACTACTTCTGACTAATAAAACATACTCAGCCAATCCAAGATCGACGCTCACGGCTTCTCAGGGGATTAAAGAATCTTGTGGCCCCCACAGTTTTTTCTTTTTTTTAGCTGAAGAATTGGAGGATTGCTCTACTTCACTATTCAAACAACGGACTAACATTTCTTTAGTAATCTGCAGATTTTCTTGTTTTTCCTCCAGATTGTAAAAATAATCCGGTGTTACTTTTCTATTATCATAATACATACCCATGGAAAGAGGAGAGCAAAATTGGGATCAACAAGAAGAGGAGGTAGAAGAAAATGAGGTTGCTTTGTTAAGAAGATCAAGTACTTTCAACAATGGGCATGCAAATCGGACATCAGACATTGCAAATAGACCCGAGAATGAGTCAATCTTTGTTAACGGGCAAAGAAACGAGGAGCTTAACGGGATTCTTGAAAATGAAGCAGAAGCAAAAGATGGTTTGAAATCAGAAAATTCCTTTTACTATGATAAAGATGAAGGTTCATAACGTGCTTTAGGATTCTGAATCTTTATTGTTTATATAATTTGATAGCTTTTGGTTTTCTTTATCTTAGATTTGTTTAATTTATAATGCGCTACAGTTTACTGAAGGTGATTGGGTTTTGTATTTTCTTGGAAAATTGCATGTGTTCAGTCATGAATATGGTCGTTGATACCAAACGAAAATTTGTAAAAGAGTTGAACAAAAGCATCAACAATAATGAAATGTGTGCCTTGTTTAGTACAATCATAGTTTGTGAAAGAGGATAATGGTTTGCTAAAAAGGAAAGTGTGGGCATTCGAGTCTAAAATTGGAGAGCAGATCTGGAAGGTGCAACGGTTTGATCTTTTCATTTAATTAACTATAACTGAATTTAACCGAATAAAACAGATTTTCGACCAGCAAAATAGGGGGCTGATTTCAGGTTGTTAAAATTATGTTTTTTTAATTATTTTGCAATTTGTTAAGTTTGAAATACACTGTGCTTGATGAGCTTCCTCCACATTTACTCTATATCTAGCTAATTTCCAAATCTTGTCAACAGGTTAATCCTTCCTCCGATGCTCGCCCAGTTTCATTACCTTATACAACGGACTGCTGGTAAAAGATCAACTTGCTTGACATTTCTCCTGAGTTATTTCTGATTTCATTTTCTTTATATGAATTTGACAGGATTTGTCAATACTATAATTGCAATTACTTTGGCCTAATTTATATTCCGGATAGCTTTTTAAGTTTTTATTCTTTTCATTAAATTGTATAGCATTGTATTCTAGATTTATACTTGCATGTTTACATTTAACAATTAAACTCAGGTTTGAACCTCATTCTGGAGAGCAACTAGTCAAGAAAAATCCTGCAGACAGATCAGACTTATTAGCAGGGAAATTTTTTGTTCAGAAGAATTCTGTTTCTATAGTAAAGGATCGATATGAAGGAGATCAAGAGTATGACAACTTGTCAATTTCAAGTTCTCGGCCAACTGAAATATTATATCAAGCACATGACACAACTTATGAGTCTTCGAAAGAGATAAAATGTACTGACAATTACTTGATAAATGCAGACGATCTGGAAGTTGGGGATTTAGATGTTGATAGAGTACTACGAGAGCAGACAACACATGATTTATATTGTCCTAATTGCAATTCATGTATCACCAGAAGGGTTATTCTTCGCAAAAGAAAACGTACTGTTCGACTTTCTGATGAGGAGGGTATACGTAGCAAACTAGGAACTGCAGCCAACTCCAAGTCGGATGCTCTCTCTGCCCAGGAAACCAGTAATCAAGGTCATCCAACAGATGATATTGGTGTAAATTGTCGTCCAATGCCAATAGCAGATGACCATGTTCATGACAGAGGGCCTGATTTATTCAGATGCTTATCATGCTTTAGCTTCTTCATTCCAATAGGTAGGAATTTATTCGCGTGGCTCAGAATTTAGAAAGTATCAAATTTATATGTAGGCACTTTATATATATGCTGTGGGATGGGACACGCTAATAAACGTCAAAACATGTTATGATAGTTCGCTGAGAGGCAGCGAGATGGCTCCGGTCATTGTTTCCATGTCTATTTGCTTTTTTAACTGATATGTGAAGGCCAAACCTACTTGGACCATTGTATCTCTAGAAACTTTCAATGCACTCAAGGATTGAGAGTGGAGAAAAATTTATGTATCTAAATTATCTTCAACAAGCCTCCTAGGCTAGATTCATTTTTTAAATCGAAGGCCACATGTGCAAAACTTTTACAAATGAGTGACAGTATGACTTAAGTCAAAGACTTTTTATCTGTTCTAATAGCATGTTGAACCACCTCATATGAAAACTTGCGTGCGGTTAGAGCATGATTCTAGTTATTTATTTAAATTCTCTTTAATGGCATTGTAATGATTGTAATATGATACAGTAAAGCCCAAGTCATTGCACTCAGCATATGATAGGTACATTTTGCTAATAACGACCTGCTACTGAAAATCTATGTGCATATCCAGTTTCTATTTTAATATCTTCAAGAACTCAACCTTTCTTCTGGACATTCAGGGAATGGGTTTAATCTGTTCCGAATATTTGGAGAGAATGGTGCCCAAGAGAATGTACGGGATGAGCAAATACCAAGTATGAAAAAAAATTGGTTGGCGTCTATATTTGCATCAAATAAGAGGGAAACATCAGGTGAACAAGGTATTGTTTTTCAATTACCAAATCAAATTTCTTACATATGAGGCATGGTACCTTTGCCTATGTTGTAGGGAGTTTATAGAATGATGCCTTTTTTATAAGTTTTGAAATATGTTCCCCCTTTTCTGTTAAAATTCCTGAATGATGGGAGGAGAAACCATGTTAAATATAGGAACTTTCTAGGACAGTTAAAGAAGATGTCAATCGAGAAGGATCTCCTGCGCATAGTTTGATGCAAGATCAGTTTTCCCTCAACAGGAAATTTATAAAACTAGAATAAAACATTGTATAGGAGACTTTAACATGGTACAATAAAGATGCAAAATGAAGTATGGTTGTTGTTTGAGAGCAAAATTCTGAAGTCATTAAACTTAATAAAATAGCGAACTGTCAATTCATTGAATAATTATACTACTCGAGAATGGAAGGGGCTTTGGTTAACGTGCTTTATATGCTGATAAAAATAAAACATTGAGAAGGGAAAGATTGAAGCTGATCTTCCAGTCCTCTTGCAGATGTAGAAATCACATCCTCAGAACTAAGCATGTTTAACTTAGTCTGAAGAAAATGTAATAGTACTTTTTTATATAAGAGTTGAACTTCAGAAAACCTAAGCTTCAAACTAAAAGTTACTTTTACTCTCCTTTTTTGTGGCAAACATGTTTCTTAAAAATGTTACTCAGAAGTAACTTTCAAGCCTAGACATATCTTTGTCTAAGCTTAAAAGTAACTTGTTAGTGACTTGCTCTTTTTAGTCTTAGCCATAAAAGCTCTACATCTTTTACTTGTCAAAGAGAGTATTATGAATTAAATGTGACAGTATTTAGAATTCAGAGCTGCTTTCCCCTGCAGGAAGTAGTCTTGGAGGTGATGAACGAAAAAGTGATATTGGACTCTTCCCATCACCCGACCTCGATTATCAGAGTGGTAAGTTTTCATTGATGCAAAAGGTTCTTCACAACCTCATGTTTCAGAAGGAAGTGTAAGCACAATGGGATCAGTGAGTCTGTGGAAGGCAGAGAAACGATTCTACCTTCTTCAAAACAAGAGCGTGAATCCGGAAATGGGATAGTTTGTGCAGAAGGCAAATCAGATAATGCAACAACTAATAAGAAAGGTATGGAAAGCATTGAACATTTGCTGTTATAGTCCAAATAATCCCTCATTAAATGTTGAGGTATTCAAAATTTCTTCTCTTCAAGTAGGAATTTAGCATTGCCCAGTAAAATTCTTTTCGCAGAGCACTTAGTGATGAACAAAATTTTAGCTTATTTTCTTTATCTACTTTGGCATGTTTGTGTACTCAGAGCACCCAGGAATGTTTGTGTACTAGACAAGACTGGACATTGTAATGAACAAAATTTTAGCTTATTTTCTTTATCTACTTTGACATTATACTTTATTCAATCCTCCTTATCAAACACGCCACGAGTGACTTCTTTATCATTCTATGAATCTATAAGTGAACTTTTTATTTTTCCCTGTGGTATAACAGATTCTACAGTTGAATGGTTTGAAGTAGATGCCAACAATCAAATGAAGGAATCGAATTTTACCATCGAAGTTCAATATAATCATGAAAGTGGTGCACCAGTAACAATGCCTTGTAACTGTATTCAAGTTTCTATCGAAGATTCTTCACAGGATACTACCTCTGATTCTCAACAAGGTGGATCGAAGTTACTGATTTTTTCAAATGAGAAAACTGTGACTCTTAAGGAATCAGACAACAGCCAAATACCCGATCACACAATACAAAAAATAAAGGCAGGTTAGATTATGACTTCAGAAGGTCATTTTTGTAATGATAGACTGACAGGAAAACACTGTCCAGCCTGCTAAATTTCATCATGGCAAGCCTTTTATTATTTATAGGGATAAAAAATAATAATAATAAATAAATAAATCCAATATTTGAATATTGATATGTTTTCTTGCTTGTTGCCCCCATCTGCTGTAAGCGATTCATCTCTTCTCCTTTAAAGCGAGAAGTTGCCCATTAGAACTGCTTCTTTACTTATAAAACAGGGTGTGCATATGAATTAATTATTACAGTTTACTCAGAATTCATAGCCATCTTTCACATGCAGGAAGTAGTCATAGCCCAGATGAAGGGAAAAGTGATGTTGGACTAATACCACCAGCTGACCTCCTGGATTATCAGAATGGTAACTCGTCATTGATGCAAAAAGGCTCCTCACTAGCTCAGGTTTCTGAAGGACGCATAAGCACTAACTGGGCCAGTGAGTCTCTGGAAAGTAGAGATAAGATTCTACCTTTTCACTTGGAAAAGTAACAATTGGTGTAGAAAATAAATCAGATAATCTGATAACGAAGAATAAAGGTGCAGATTGAAATTGAACTCCTGCTTTTATAGTCAGAAAAT